TATGGGGGAAAATAGGAATCTAGAAATATATAGAAATATACGGAAAGCTGGAAACTAGAAATATACAGAAATATCGAAAATAGAAACAGAAGTGCTCAGAAATGTAAAAGTATATGGATATATAAATATCAGAAATGCAGAAATAGAAAAAAAATAGAAGTGTAGAAAATTAGAAATACAGAAATAAATTTACAAATACAGAAAAATAAATACAGATAAATAGTATAAATAAAATCTAGGAAGAAAAACCACGAATTGRAACTTGGCTCCTGTTGCTGACCAGGGATTTGGCAGTGGGGTGGGACCTGGTCTAGGTTTCCTTGTCTCCAATCTAGCCCCTTTCCTGCAGGGACATGGCAGAGGAGCTGAGGCACTTTCCACCTTAGGAGAAGGCATTTACCTCAATATTTTGTTTCTCTGACTGCAGGGTACCAAGAGGGATGGTGGGTTAGGGAGGAGAGGGAAGGGCYTAAGGACTGTGTCCTAGAGGGAGCATTTCCCTTTCTAAAACTCTTAATTCCTGCTCAAAACTTGCCCTCAGGATCTTCCTGCCAAGCTGGGTCTTTTGTCTGGGAACAGGCTTGTGGAAATGGAGATTCCTCAGCCGGGGGTGGGTGGAGCTTGTGGGAGGCTTTGGCTGCTCCTAAATAATCCTGAAGTTGTTTTGATCYTTCATTGTCTCCCAGTTTCTGGAATTTCTGGTGCCTGGTGCTGCTGGAGGCATTGGGGGTGGTGTTACTGATGTGGGAAGTACCAACCCTGAACTTTGGGGTTGAACATTTTCCTGAGGCATTTCTGAACCCYAAACTTCTGTGGGCTTTGTCTTGCAGTGGAAGGAACAACCAGGAGAGCCAAGATTGCCTGCAGTGCCCGGGTGGTGGCCGAGGTGGCCCCCATGGTGATCATGAGCCAGGTGTACAGGCAGACCCTGGCCAAGAGCTCRGACACGCTGGTGGGGGCTCACATCAGAATCCATCGCTGCAACGAGTCCTTCATTTACCTGCTGTCCCCTCTGCGGTGAGTTTGGGCTCTCCTGGGACACAGCTGGACTCTGGCTGACCATGAGCACAGTGTCCTGGGGGTCAGGAGGCTGATGGGATCCTGGGGAAAGGGCATTGCCAGCAGCTCAGGGCTGATCCTGTCCCTCTGCTCAGCCCTGGGAGGCACATCTGGAGTGCCGTGTCCAGCTCTGGGCTCCTCGGGACAGCAGGGACATGGAGCTGCTGGAGCAGGTCCAGTGGAGAATACAGAGATGATGATACTGGAGCATCTCCCTGCCCAGGAAAGGCTGAGGGAGCTGGGACTGGTCAGTCTGGAGAGGACAAGATAGAGAGGGGATCCCATCAATCCTTACAAAGATCTACAGGGGGTGCCAGAGGGTGGTGCCAGGCTCTGTTCAGAAGTGCCCATGACAGGATAAAGAGCAATGGCCGTGAACTAAAACACAAAAGGTTTATGGGGAAGAACTTCCTTCCCTGGAGGGTGGCAGAGCCCTGGAACAGCTGCCCGGGGAGGGTGTGGAGTTCCCTCTCTGGACACATCCCAAAGCCACCTGGACACATTCCTATGTCACCTGCTGCAGGTGAGCCTGCCTCGGACTGGATGGAGGYTCCTTCCACCCCCAACCATTCTGTGGTTCCTCGGCAGATCCGTCACCATCGAGAAGTGCCGCAACAGCACCTTTGTCCTGGGCCCTGTGGAGACATCAGTGCATGTCCAGAGCTGTGACAGTGTCAGGGTCATCGTGGTGTGCCACCGTTTGTCCCTCTCGTCCACCAGCAGCTGCACTTTCCACACTCTGACCCCCACGCAGCCCCTCATCCTCTCGGGGAACCAGGCGGTCAGCTTTGCCCCTTTCCACACCCACTACCCCATGCTGGAAGACCACATGGCTCAGGTGGGCCTGGCCACTCTGCCCAACTACTGGGACAGCCCCATGCTGGTGTGCAGGGACAGCGGGGACACGAACGTCTTCCGGCTGCTGCCACCCTCGGAGTTCTACACCTTYGTGGTTCCCTTCGAGATGGATGGAGACACCACGGAGACACCGGGGGGGCTGCCCCACGAGTACCAGGAGGCACTGAGCCAGCGGGAGCACAAGGTGCAGCTGTGGCAGCGCACGGTCAAGGAGGCAGGGCTGACCAGGTGAGTGCCCCCTGCCTCAGCCATGTTCTTGTTTGAAGGATGGGGTGGGTTGTGGGAGCCACTCTTGCAGGCCAGTCCTAGAGCATTAGTAATTAGCARTCCTGGGATTCTGGTTGGGAAGGTGGGAAGGGTAATGCTCACAGGCATAGCTTGGAGTTGTAAAATCGCCAAATGCTTTGGGTTGGAAGGGACCTGAAACTCATCCAGTGCCACCCCCTGCCACAGCAGGGACACCTTCCACTGTCCCAGGCTGCTCCCAGCCCCAATGTCCAGCCTGGCCTTGAACACTTCCAGGGATTCAGGGGCAGCCACAGCTTCTCTGGGCACCCTGTGCCAGGGCCTCACCTCCCTTACAGGAAGAATTCCTTCCCAAAATCCCATCGAACCTTACCCTCTGGCAGTGGGAAGCCATTCCCCCTGTCTTGTCCCTCCATCCCTTGTCCAAAGTCCCTTTCCAGCTCTCCTGGAGCCCCTTTAGGCACTGGAAGGAGCTCTGAGCTCTCCCTGGAGCCTTCTCTTCTCYGGGTGAACYCCTCCAGCTCTCTCAGCCTGGCTCCAGGGCARAGGTGCATCCAGTGGCCTCCTCCAGATTCATTCCAACAGCTGCAGATCCTTGTTCTGTTGGGGATCCCAGGGCTGGAGGCAGCTCTGCAGCTGRGGCCTCACCACGTGGAGGGAAGGGGAGTCATCCCCTCCCTGGCCCACGCTGCTCCAAAGGAGGTGCTTTCTCGTGGCTGCATTTTCCCAGCTTGGGAGACTCCAGGAGAAGCATTCCCAGATAGTGCCGAGGTGTGGGACTGGGAGAGGGCTGGGTGTGCACCCTGAGCTGCCTGGGTCCCTCAGCCCAGCCTTACCTCGGGATTGGAGCTGTAAATGACCATCCCAGCCCTGTTTGAGGTGAGCTGGGAATGTGCACGTGGATCATTGCAGCAGGTCACCTGGTGGGCAGTGGCTTTTAAATTCCTCTGGAGCAGATCCCATGGAATCCTCTGCCCAGCTGCCTTGGCAAGCACAGACTGGGGATAATTCAAACACCCTTCTGTAAAGACTTGATTAGAACAAGTTTTGTCCCCAGAACTGTGCTTAAGCTGTGGAGGTTTTCTTTCTGTTCTGTGGCAGTTAATAGCTGGTCAGGGGTGCTGATAGCAGGGATCTTGCCAAGGTTTATCCTATGGGAAATATGGAATAGGAGAGTGTTCCTTTGAGGCAAACTGACAACACTTCCCATTGTACCAGGCTGAGGAGTTGTGGCTCATTTGCTGGTTCCTTGTTTTGGAGGAGCTCCCTGTGCTTCCCACATTCCTTTCTGCAATCCTTTCTGTGCTGAGCACAGAAAGTGCAGCTTGAAAAACCTCTGCACTGGGAGAGGAAAGGGATTCCAGGGTGGGATTTTGCTACAGGAGGAGTGCAGCAGAGTGGTGGTGACCCAGAAATGGGAACAAAAAACCTTCACAATTCCCAGCCCTCAGTCTTCAGGAGCAGCAGAGAGGGAAGAGACTTGAACCTGTTGTGTTTGTCAGCCTCATCCAGGTGATTCCCACTTCACCTGGTGTCCTCCCATGGCTGCTGCTTCCCACCACAGTTTTGGGAAGGAGTTTGGCCTGTCAGAACCTTCCTGTGAAAGGAGTGTGAGGAAATAGGGATGATGTGCTTACATCTGCCGCAGTCTCGGGAGGCARCAGCTCGCTGCTTATTCCATGAAAAGGGGGAAAACTGGCAAGTTTAGAAGCTTGTTGAAAAGAAACTGGGCAGCTGACAGTGGAAAACGTCTGTTGTCTCCTGCAGGCAGGGAAACAAGAAGGGAGACAAGTAGGAAGCTTAGAGCAAACAGGATCTCGGGCTCGTAGGAAGAAAAAAGCCGCTGCGCTCGAGYGGGGAGGTGAAAGAGAGTGTTAGAAATAAGAAGATGTCTTTTCAAGAAGTTGGAAGTTGTCTGATTGAGGAAAGTGGGGCAAAAAAAGAATGTAAATCCTGCCAGGCTGAAAGTAAAACCCCCGTAAGACAGGACCAAGAAGACAGCTTGAGGAGCAACTTGCAAAAGCATAAAATCCTGTTTATTCATTTTGTGAGCGTATCAGACAGAAAGTCTTTCAGGGTCAGCAGCAGATCAAGGTAGAGAAAAAGCTCTTGGAGAAGATAAATCCACAAGGGAAGAAAGAATTGGCTGCCTTTGTGTTTGCTGGGGAGGAATTTGGGTTAGCTTKTGTCCCAGAACCCTGCTTTTGGGGAGTGGCTCAGAGGGAAGAGATCATACAGAGAGCAGCCTTTAACTGGAGAGAAGGGTGTGGARCCTCTCTGAGTGGGACAAAACTGRGTGGAATGGCCTGGAYTGGAAGGAACTTTAAAAATCCAAACAGATTTCACCCCCTGCCATGGGCAGGGACACCTTCCACTGTCTCAGGTTGTTCCAAGCYCTGTCCARCCTGGCYTTGGACACTTCAGGGATGGAGCAGCCACRGCTTCTCTGTGCCAGGGCCTCCCCACCCTCMCAGGGAAGAATTCCTTTCCAATATCCCATCTAACCCAGCCCTTTATCACTTTGAAGCYATTCCCCCTTGTCCTGTCMCTCCAGGCCYTTGGAGTGGTGGAAGCAGTCTCTCTCCATCTTTCTTGTAGCTCCTTYAGACACTGCAAGGYYACAATTAGGTCACCCCAAAGCTTCTCTTCTCCAGACTGAACAATTCCAAGTCTCCCAGCCTTTCCTYACAGCAGGGCTRCTCCATCCCTCTGATCATCTTGGTGGCCCCCTCTGGAGCTGGTTTCCTGCTTTTCCGTGTACAGAATGGGGTCAGCACATCAAATTAGGAATGGGTTCAAAGAAAATCTGTGTGAAATCTCCAGAATACTGAAAAATGTTCCYGTTTTATTGGTGTTCAGAAAGGAATTGTATAAACTCCTTGAAAAGGTCCATCAAGGACCTGTTCTACCTTTGGCTGAAGAAATCCCAGAGGAGAGCTGATCCCAAGGGGCTGGGATGCTGTTCTGGATATGCTTTTGGGCATCTGACCAGTGCCAGGGAGCSTGAGCTGAGTGGGCCACCCTGTTACTGCCAAAAACACCCCAAAAGTTTATTATGAGCAGTGGGGATGATGTAAGGAGTGTTTATAAGGTACATTTTTCCCCTTATCTCCATCCTCTCAGGTGCTGTCAGAACAGAATTTCATGTTCTCAGTGCCTGAGCACTAGTTCCTAATCTTTTCTCCCTCTTCAGGCAGTTTTTCAGCTGTGCCCTGAGGACAAAGTGGTGGCAGCCCTGGAGCAGGTGGTTGTGCTGGTGGGATGGGGAATTTTGTATGGCTTCTCCAGCTCCACCAGGTTCTGCCTTTGKTGTTCATTATCATCCCATCCACTTGGTAAAAACCTTCTCTGGTTGTCTCTGCATGGTTCAGGCACCAAGCCTGGCTCTTCTGATACACCTGGAGGCTTGTTTGGGTAGTGAAGGTGAGGTTGAAGTATAACACAGTAAATAAATGCGATTTTTTCCAACTTTCTGCTGCTGCTGTTTCTATTTCAGGGATCAGAGGAAACAGTTCCAGACGTTGGTAGAGAACAAATTCTACGAGTGGCTGGTTCAGACGGGGAACCGGCAGCAGCTGGACAGCCTGGTCCCTCCTGCTGTGGGCTCCAAGCAGGCAGCAGGATGACATTGCTGAGCACCAGAAGGAAAAGGAGGTGAGTAAAAGCCTCCTCTTGCTTCTTCTCCACCCCAAAAATTCTCCCATTTTTGTGGGCACAGCCAATGCAGAGGTAGGAAAAGTCTGTTGAATGAATGCTCTCCTAAGAGCCTGGCATTTGGGATCAGATCTTATTTGGCTGTCAAAACCCCTTTTCAGCTGAAATCTGTGTCCTCAGCRCTGCTTTGCTGTTCATTTGATTTGGTGAGGGCATCTGTAAAGGCAGATGGGCACACTGCACATAATGTGATARAAACTGATTGGAATAGCTGCTCTTCCAGAGAAATTCTGTGTGTTGATGTTTACCCATCTCACTTCTTGCTAAGAGAATTGACTGAGATTTTAGGAAATTCTTTAAATGAAACTTTGTTAATTCTTACAATAAGACTTTGGGCAATTCTTTCAGTGAGACTTTGGGTAAATCCTGGAAAATTCTCATTTACTCTTCCCAAGCAGAAGTGGTTTAGGAGCTGGAGACCTGCCCTTACCATGCCCTCCTGCCATGGCATGTTTCAACCATTAGAAAGTTGTTTTATTTTTGATTTAGTCTTCGAATTCCTCTGTCTTTGTTCRTGTTGGGAGTAAAATTGTCTCCTTTTATTTTGTTCCACAGCTCTGGGAAGAGGCAGTGATCCACTCAGCCCAATTCTCATTAAGGCTTTGTGGCCATCCTGCCTGAACCCACTGGATCCAGCCCCCAGCCTTGGCATGGGTTGGACTGCCTGGCTGCCTTAGGATTCCTGAGCACTGCAGCATTCCCAGGAATGTGCTGGTGGKGACTGAGAGGTGCCTGGCACTGGAGGAAGATGAAGTGTGCCTTGTTGAGCAGGTGTCCAGCACACCAGGTTTCCTGGGACAAAGCTGGCTGCAGGGCATCACCTGTATCCTCATGGTACAAACCAGCAKAGCTGTTTTTATAAATGTGAAAAAGAAATGTTTAAATTTTTTTACGAATGAAATCCAACAGGTGTTTTTATATGAAGGTAGCACTCTTGTGAAGATGAATTTTTGTACATGGTTGCACTGTTTTGACAAATGTCAATAAACCAGAATTGTTGGATAAACCTGGCAYATGTCCTAGGATAGACGTTTTACCTTTTTAGAGGGACACAGCACCTTTAATTTCAATGAAATGTGAAYCTGTCAGAGAGAGAAAGTGCTAATTTATGAGGAAAAATAGGGCAAAAAAGGAATGTAAATCCTGCTGGGCTGAAAGTACAGCTCCTGTAAACTGCAGCCATGGAGCTGAGCCTTTTGAAGGCTGCCCTGGCACGAGGTTTTGATACGAGCCCAATTCCTMTCACTCATAATTTTCATAAAGATTWTCAGCTTCAATAAGCACCATTCTCCTGTGCTGGTGGGACGTGTTTTGGGGAGATGTGCTCATAGCTGAGCACCTAAATAAGCTTGGAAAATAGGCAAAGGCATTGCATGGCTGAGTGGAGGCAGCAGCTGGCGGTGCCTTGGGGAGAGCTATCCAAGCTGAGAGCGAGGGGAAGGCACAGTGCTCTGGAGTGCACAGCCTCAGAATTCCTCTGAAGGGCTCCCTTGGCTCCTGGGCAGGCAGGGGAGGTGAGTTTATTCTATTTATTCTATTTATTTGAGTTTATTGTATTTAACCGACTTCCAAAGGAGGGATGTGCAAAGCGACCACGGCTTCGAGCTGTGAACCTGCTGGTAGAACCCAGCTTGTGCTTGAGCTCTGATCTTCAGGCACTACAAACTGAAATCTGAAAACTGAAAACTGAATCAATCCAAGTGGCCTCGGCATAGGCAACAGCTCTGGGTGATTCAAGGCTCCTAAAATGGGAAGAGCAGCAGCTGCTGAGCGTGTGCGCCCCAGGCTGTCCCATCTGCCTGCATTTACAGAGCTGCTCTTGCGAGAGTGCTTGTCCTGACAGATTTCAAAGAGGGGCGTATTTCGGGCGCTGCCGTGCCAAATTCGTGTCCCTTTGTCTCGCTAAGCCTTTGGGCTGGGACACTGAATAGCTGCAGAGGTGGTTTTTCATAATGCACCGGCGGGGAGGGGGGGTGGCTGTGGAAGCCAGCGATCCTCAGCCTCCCTGCTCCGAGCATGGCCCCGGGGAAAACTCTACTCCAACTTCAGGTGCTGGGCTGAGAGCTTGGAGTTGGGTTTGTGACACTTGGCAGAGACAATCACAAACCTGAGTGTCGTCTGGTGTGTGAAATCACTCACTTTTTGGGCGTGTGGCCAAGCATCCTTTTCTTCACTCTTTGGGGCAGTGTGGCTGCAGCTGAGGGCGTCCCAGGAAAAACCTGCAGCCCCTTTGCTGCACAGATGTTCCCATGGAGAGCTTTCAGTGCAGAGCTGGTCTTTGCAAGCCTCTGGTGTGTGCCCTGAGCCCTTGTCATTCYTTAACTGCATCCTTCGCTGCACGGGGGCATTCCCTGATAAATACCGCGTGCCCTCCTTCCACATGGGGTGGGTCTCCAAGAGCCAAGGAGAATTCCTTCTCCTTTAACGACCTTGGAAAAGAGGGAGCAGCCAAATCACCCCCCCCCGTCCTCCCGGACTTGGCAGGGGGCTGCGTGTTTTGAGTGCATTTGGCAGAGTTTTGGTGTTCTGACTCAGCAAATGGTAACAAAGGGAGGATGGCGAAGCCTTCCTTTATTCCATAATCCTGTTTGCTTTTCTGGAAATCGGCTATAGCCTCAGAATCACTGACTCAATTTTTGGATCCTATTCTCATGACAAAGCGGCTGTCTGGTTTAAAACAAGCCCGTTATAAAAAGGGCACCTCGGATCCTGGCTGTTTGTAACAGCTGCTGACGTTCCTCCGGCACAGGGGAGCTTGGCTGGAACGGAAAATGTCCAGGGCTGGAACCAAGGTAAGTTTGTTTGCAGTGCATTCATGATTTTGGCTAAAATTGCAGAATTTAGGGATGAGTTGCAGAGAAACTTTGTTTTCTTTGTTCTGCTGACGGCTTCCTCCCTCTGTCAGTGTGTGGGCAGGGGGAGATGCTCAAAATCCCTCCTCCCATGGAGGGAGGCTGGAGCTGAGCCCTCCCAAGGCTTTCTCCAGATYTTGGGTGGGTTCCTTGAGGTGTGGCTGTGCCAGAGGACTGCTGAGGGGGCATTTTGAAACGATTCTCAATCAGCAGGATCTGATGCCGTGTAAATTAGGGGTGGAGGGGGCCTTGGCAGCAGGGAATGACTGCGCTCGTGGAGCGGGGTCTCACGGAAGGATCCCTTGGAACCTTGGGAGAAGAACCTGACTCCCAACACCACAAAAGGGAGCTGCCCCACCCCTTTTCCATGGTGGAGCAGAGGGTGTGCAGCGACAGGAGGACCCCTGAGTGGCACGGAAGGGGACAGCGTTCCCCGAGGGACACAAACCAACCTTGGGAGTGGTGCCATCAGCAGGGATGGACTGAAATTGGAGCAGGAGGTAGGTTGGGAAGCTCAGCTTCAGCTGRAGTGACATCCCAGCTGGGAATCCAGCTCATCAGGCTTGGGTTGARCAGAGCAGAGCTCGCTGGTCCCGCAGAACTCAGACAGGGGCTGGGGCTGGGCAGGGAGAAACAGCTGGGAAAGGAGAGGAGAGGGGGGGTGAGGATTTTGGCCAGTGTCCCCTGTGGAACATGAAATCACCTCAGTTTTACTTTTTCCTCTCAGCCTGTTGGGGCTGTAGGACCCCAGGGGGTTGGGAAGCACCGGGTGATGCCGTGGAAGATCCAGACTTGGTCTGATCTCGGCTCTCAGCGGCCAGGCTGTYGGGCTGGGAAGCCCAGGAGGGTGTGCTGCTGGCTCCCAGATCTCAGAGGGGCAAACTTTCCATACCTGTGCCTAAAAAAGGTGCTGGGGAATTGCAACTACTCCATCCTTGAGTCTTCTGAACGCCTGGAAAACCTTGAGCACGTTCTGCCTTTCTCCTGCCCAAAGCTGTGTCCCCTCAGAGCAGGAATTCACGGAGTAGGTGCTGCTGAGGGGTGGCCAGGAGGAGTCACCTCCTGTTTCTCTCTGCTGTGCTCTTGTTTAGCGTGTTCCAGGGAGAAGAAAAGGGCCAAGTAGGGAATTAAACACCATTTCTCACAACCCTGGTGAGTGGTCTGCCCTGGAAAAGGGTCGTTGCTGACACAGGATGCACTGCTGGATGTTTTTTACGGGTTTCCTTCTGGCTGAGCTGCTCTTGCAGCTGATGTTGCTGAAAAGAAATACGTGATAACTGAGGTGAGGTGATCAAAGTGGGAATTTCACATTCCCACAAGGAATGAACGTGCCTGGGAAGTCCCCAGAAGGCAAGGTTTGGGCAGGAGAGGTTAACGGGTGAGCACTGGGGGCAGAGCTCCTGSAGGGTTTGGCTGAAGGAAGGCAGTTCCCCTGAGAGGGAGGGGACAGAAATGAAGCTGCAAAATCTGGAATTGAATSTGRAGTTCTCYTGGAATTATTYTATGSGTGAAACCATCGACCTSCTCTGAATGCACGCAGGAAAGCTGGGAAGTGAAGGTCTGAAATGAGCTCAGGGCATGTCCAAAGGGCTGTGCCGAAGAGTGGGTGGGCAGAATCCCTGGAATTCTGAGATGAAACTGAGGAGCAACACTTTGGCAGTTCTGTAGGAACAGCCATATCCTTAATGTGCTCTTGGATTTCTTTGGCTTTGCTGAGGTCGGGTTTGGTTGTGTCAGGCTGAGTGGGAAAGGAATCCCTGAATCTGGGAATGGTTTGGGTTGAAAAGGACCTTAAAGCTCATCCCATCCCACCCCCAGCCATGGGCTGGAACACCTSCCACTGTCCCAGGCTGCTCCAAGCCCCATCCCCTCACCTTGGACACTGCCAGGGATTCCTCTGCCCCGAGAGCAGAGCCACACTGAGCAGGGATCATCACGTTGGGTGAACTCACTGCACGGACAGGAGCGGGATGGGATCAGAGCTTGGGGTGGAGGCTGGAGAGGGGGATCAGCCATCCCAGCTGAGGATATTGCTGAGCTGGGAACAGGCAATTTTCCAGGGATTTGTGGCTTCCTTGACCACTGGCTTTGAGAATAGGTTGGCTGGTGGTGCGTGACTGCAAACCTCATCCAGCAGAGCTTTCAGTGCTGACTCTGGWGGCACATCTTTAGGGTGATACCTTTAGGGACAACCATCCAGGAGCAGGATGTGGAAAAGGCAATGGGTTTTGGCCAGAAAGAACTGGTCAGCGTGGTTAACTGGCCAAGAGTGGGAAAACAGGAACTGGGAATTGCAGTGCTCACCTTTCACAGTTTTTATTCGCTGCTGGGAAGGTGCGAGTGGTTCCCAGCCCTCCACTGTGTGAAGGTGGGAAGAGCTGGCTCAGGATGCTGGGGGACAGGTTGTTCCATGTGCACCAAGTCTTCATGGTGGGAGATCAGTCCTTGAAATTCAGAGGAAAATAGAATTATCCTAATAAATGTCCAGTATCAGGCCACAAAACTGAGAACATGAGCCCTCTGGCACGATCAGTCCGACTGCCCAGACCCCGATCAGGCTGATGGGACACACTGACCAACCAGCTCCAGGAAAACTCCAGTTGATTTAATTTTTAGCACAAAACAAATGATTAAAATAAAAAGTGAGTGAGTTGCCCTGGATTTGGGTTGAAACAGTGAAAATGACATTTTTGACATCAGGTTACATTGATACCAGTAGCCACGGTGCTGTAGGTGAAGTACAGCAGATTATGGTGTATTTTAAGGCATGGAAAAACCACAGAAAAAAATGGATTGTGGAACACTGAATGTTGGGTGTGGCCAGAAAGATTCTCTCCAGAGCATCTGGCACCATGAACAAGCACGGGATGTAGTCAGGACGGACGTGATGGTTTGGGAATCCTCTCGGAGAAGAGCAGCTCTKGATGAGTGATTGTCACCTGGGAGGTTCTGAAATGGGGCTGGAGAAAGGACTGGTCTGCTCTGGGGCTCGGAAATATTCCCATGAAGGGATTTTTGAGGAAAACTGGGTCTCCTCTCCAGGGCTGCCTCAGGTGGGAGCTGGTGAGCAAAGCCCATTCCTCCCAAGACCATTTCAAGCCAGGCTGTCATCAAGCAGSGATGAAGTGCTTTGGGGTCAGCAGCATGGCTATAGGGCAGCTTTTGGGAAAGAAACGTGGGGATGGATCGGGAATTTGTCAGATATTTTGGGAACTTGCAGCAACTGAAGCAGGACAAGCCAACTGCAAACACAATCCTCAGATATCCGAAAAAACTGCTCCCCACCGTGCAGATGGAATGCTCCTTCAGTTTCTCCTGGCACGGGCAAAGCTTGTGCGATGTCCACTGGAGGTGTTGGGGTCAGACTGGTGAACTGAGTGCAGCCAGTCCTGTTCCTTGGCTGGACTTGATGATTCCTGACATCTTGAAGGTTCTGATTCCAGATATTTCCTGCTGTTGATGCCTAAAACAAAGCTCACCTGAAACAGGGGCCAGAGAATATATATAAGAGAATAAAATATATATAATATATATAAGAGAATAAAAGCAGACAAATTTAATCCAGGCTTGCTGGTACATTCAGGGCGGATAAGAGCCTTCTCCTGAGGCTGCACCCAAAATGGACCCCGAGTCACGAGATCTTCCCCTTTTATAGGTTCTGTCTCATGAACACATCGGGCCCCAATTCTCCAATTGCACCTTCAGGTGATGATGGCAACCACCCCAAGCTTGCTCCCCCAATTCACTGTTATTTACAGATTTTGGGGCTCTGAGGCAGTGAGGTGTCCTTGGATTCAGGCTCAGAGAGGAATTGTTTTGTCTAAAGATGGGAGAGCAGCAGCTTTAGTGCTGCACACTGGAGAAGTACAAGAATACAGATACATGAAAATACAGAAACTAAAAAATCCTAAGGCATGACCGTGATGTGGCTGGAATGTGAAGACGTGCTAGAATGAGAAACCCCCCATTCTCCCCCTCTCTCCTCATTTCAGGTCACCTTCTATGAAGACAAGAACTTCCTCGGCCGTTACTACGAGTGCGACAGCGACTGCCCCGATTTCCACACGTACCTGAGCCGCTGCAACTCCATCCGCGTGGATGGCGGCACCTGGGTGGCCTACGAGAGACCCAACTATGCTGGCAACATGTACGTGCTGACCCACGGCGAGTACCCCGACTACCACCACTGGATGGGCCTCAACGACCGCCTGGGCTCCTGCAAGTACATCCAGATCGTAGGTGTCGCCTCTTCCTGGGGGATGATTGTGGGGTTTCCCGTTGGGAAGCATGGTCCCTGTCTGCCGGGCTGCGGGGGATTTGCTCTGGGGACAGCAGAGTGCTCGGTGTGGGGAGAAAGTCGATCCCTCCCGGTCTGGATTGAGGTGGGGTAAAGCAGATCCTGTGAGTGTGGGTGGATTTCTGTAGGAAATTTCCATAGGAAAYATAGTTTSTGTRGGRACAGCCRGGTGGTTYCATCTGCCCGTTCCTTTAGGGATTTCAGTGTCCAGGCAGGCTGCTCTGAGGTTTGTCCCTTGCCTCTTCCCTGCTGTGTAACCAGCTGATCCAGCAGGCTGCAGCTGTGGGATGTGGATTTTGCAGGGACTTTTGGGATGAGGGGAAGTTTTCTCTGTAGCTAGCCCGGACTCTGTGGTGATACAGTGTACCCAAATCCCTGTGGGGATAGAGAGCCCAGCCCCAGGAGCAGCCCTGGAGTGCCCAGGAGCGGGAG